CCCCAAAACCCCAAAACCCCGCGGATCGCAATACTTTCAAAATTTTAATAAAGAATAATGAAATAAATTATATTTAAATATATTTTTTTATTCGCATCTTAAGAATATTATCTATTGATATTATAATTTATAGCCAATATCAATTTTATAAAAATCGTCATAGTAGTTCTAGTTTGTTGATACTTTGGTTCTAATTTCCTTACAATATCATTCTCTGTCTATTTTTCAATGCTATATTCATACTTCTTTTCTCATTAGTTTTATTCTCATCAACATGTAATATTTAACTATCCTCAAATTTCTGCTTAAATAATTTTCCTTAAGATTTTAAGCTTTTTCTCGATCTAATTGATCTTTTATTTTAAATTTATTATAGATTATGGGCCATAGATATATTGTTTATACTCATGATTTTATTTTTGCTTCGGATCTAACTAAGACTGTAGTTTAAGTGTATTTAATTTTAACTTGGAGCTTTATTGGTTATCACATTCTACTGCTAGTCTTCAGTCAAATTATTATTAGTTGCTGAAATATCTTAAGCTGTTTTATTGATGTTAATTTTATTATAGTTGAGATTTCTCTCAGAAATTTGTGGAAGAAGCTAGCCAACCTAGGTAATGGATTTTTTCATTTAAGATTAGTCCATGCCTTAAGATTGATTTAGAATATTCCATCCACCTATCTAATCCTGGCTTTGTTTGATATCTTGATCCTCATTTTGCTTAAGAATATGATACTTTCTACTAGGAAGACCTATTGACTTATCATGCTTGTAAAAATGATTCTTCGTTATTAATATACTACAATTAAGGTTATTCTAACTCAGAATCCCTGTGTTTCTTTAAGATGATAATGATCTAATAGATTAAAGTAAATCTGAGTTGTGAGTCTGGATAAAGTTCAAATTGCCACTTTTATTTTATTAAATTATCTAGGTACTACCATTGTCCTTATTTAGTTTTCTTTATTCAGGTCCTTTGGAATTATTTAACTACGAAAAGATACTATATTTTGTAGAACTTATAGCTTTTCTATCTATTTAAATTTGAGTAACAGATTTCCTATCTTAAGATAATGATTCCTATTATTGAAAATTTTGATATTCCTAGATATTACTGCTAGTATTAATATCAGCATTATCAGGTTTTTATACTTGAAGAGGGTTTGTATTTTAACTTGATATCATTGGACTTTTATGAATGGAGGATTTTAAGTAGTAAGCTTATGACCTCTCAGTATTTTCCTATGATGAATTTGATAGCATAGATCTATTGGTATTTTAAATACTAACTTTTAAATTCTTTTAAGTCTGGGAAGATTTAATAATGTTACTAGATTTCTAATTTTTCAGATTTTAACTTTGAGTGTAGGGATTATCATAGTAATTATTTTATGATTAATCACTTGGAGTGATGTCTGTTACTTTGTTTTGAAATAAAGTCACATTTTATTCTCTGATTTTCTTATTAAGGTATTTTAATTTAAGCTACCTTATCTCTTAATCTGATTTGAAAGTATCTAGTCCATTCATCGAAGCAATTGCCTTTGCTCTCTTATCTGCTTGCACAATTTTACTAGAGGAAGATATGTCAAAGTCCATTTGTAGGCATTTTTATTATATGCTCTTGATAAAATTCACCTATAAATAAGTTAATCTTTAACATTCTAATATCTAACATTTCTAATCAGATTTGAGAGTGTTGATACATTAGGAATTGTCCTTTCATTTGATCTATCTTATATTAAAGACTACTCACCACTATTAATCATGTCAACTCTAGATGAGTTAATTTTAGATATTTTTTACTAGGTTAATTCACCAAGACTCCTGTTTTGATTAGCACTTAGGCGATGAGAGTTTAGAAGTTCGGTAGTTTATTTTTAGAGAATTGAATGATTATTAGAATCCAAATTACTGTAATTCATTTCAGACTTATTTAGATTGAGTAGGTTGAGCTTACTGTTTCTGATGTTCGTTCCACTACTTTTCCCATTATATTACTTATTGGTGACTTTGGTATTTTAACCTTAATAGTTATCGTCATAAAGATTCGAATCTAATTATTATTGCTCTGACTAAGATAAATCAATTAAACCCCTCTTCTTATACTGCTCTGCAATAAACTGCTTCTTTACTAGTACAGGATGCATTTATATCTGCTTAAGAGTTATTGGATCAGGCTATGTTTAGTGGAAATCAATTATCTATATGTTTCCTGATAGGTTTTTGTTAGATTTCATCACCTACTGCATTTTATCTTACTAAAGATTGACTGTAGATGATAGGACCATCTCAAGATAGCGTTATTTCAATTCCTTGCCCTCTTTAAGTTTACCTATTAATCTATCAACTAGATCTATAAATGCTTGATTATGTGGAATAAAGTATTACTTATTTTTTCAGTCATTGCTGGATCTATTTTTTGCTAGGTTAGGGAATGTGGTATCAATAATCCACGATACTCAGAGAGATCTTCTTTAGTCCTGGATCTTTTATATATCATTTGCTTATCAAAGATATTAAAATCCCCTGCATTTTGCTGATAAAAACTGTCATCTTCTTATACTGTCTCATCGATTTCACCCAAACTTTTCTGTCTATCTAGAGTTGGGAGAAAACTGTCTTTTGGATTTGTTGTAGATTTTGTTGATCTATCTGGGATGAATGAAACTCTTGGATTTAGACTCATTTTATATTTTAATTTTTAATAAATTTTCTGATCCCAATTAGATTATCTTTTATAATTCTTGGGGTTTTGGGGTTTTGGGGTTTTGGGG